TCTTTATAGAAAGGTGTGGACAGCTGCTCACACCTGTAATCTCAGCACTTTGGGCAGCCAAAGAGGGAAGAATGTTTGAGGCCAGGAGTTCAAGACCAGCCTTGGCAATATAGCAAATTCTCATCTTTACTGAAAAAAAAAAAAAGTTTAATTAGCTGGGCATGCTGGTGCATGCCTGTACCCCCAAATACTTGGGACACTAAGGAAGGAGGATCGCTTGAGCTCAGGAGTTCAAGGCTGCAGTGAGCTATGATCACACCACTGCACTCCAGCATGGGCAACAGTGTGAAACCCTATCTCAAAATAAAAAACTCTTTACACACACACACACACACACACACACACACACACACACACACACACGTACTTCTGTTCTGTTTTCCTGGAGAATCCTGGCTAATACATCTGTTTTTATAGTTATCTCCTTAGGATAAATTCATAAGAGATTTCCCAAGAAAAACATAAGTACCTTCTAGATTTTCACACATACTGCTCAATTTCCATTCAGAAATGCTGTGTTCACTACATTCCCACAGCCCTGCCTCTCGTGCTGCTTCGCTCCACCAGGGCATTGTGCCACACGTTCAACGCTAACTGGCCATCTTGTTTAGGTTCCCTCTCCCTTTTTGTGTGTGTGTGATCTGCGCTTGTGTTGCTTGCCCATTTTTATCTAGTTGGTTTCTTAGGTCAGGTTGTCCAGGAAAGAGATTCTGAAACAGAGATGTGCATGCAGGATGTCTGGGGCTCTCAGGGCCATGCCTGGAGGAAGGGAGGGCAGCAGGGCAGAGGCAGCACAGAGGCAGAGGCACAAAGCTGTGCTCTGGCTGCAGGCCCTCAGCCCACAGCAGGAGCCCCTTTGCAGAGGTGGGTCACACTGGAGGTAGGCTACCCCTTGGAGTGGTTTTCCTTCCTATGAGAGGCAGCTTTCTTTAGCAGAGGGCAATTCCTGTAAAAAGATTCACTGTGAGCCTTCAGCTGCCACCCTCCTGGCAGCTGGGGATTAGGAATTCAGTCCTAAAGGAGGAATATGGGTATGGATCATAGCACTCACCAAATTAGGGTGTCGGTAGTTTGCATATTGGTTTGCAAAGCTCTGTACATGTTGTTAATATTCGTCTTCTGTCTTATTTTCCCAATTCGGCTTTATTTGAAATTTTTATTATAATATTTTCCATTCTGAAGAGTTTTTTTCATTAATTTGAGTCAAATCTATCAAAATTTCCCTTAAGGTTTCAGACTCTAAAATCTTGGTTTTAGAAGTCCGCTACCCCTAGCCTAAGATTACAAATTTATGCTCCTGCAAGTCCTTCTAATGCTTTTATGGCTTTTTTTATTTTACATGTAATTAATCTGATAAAGATTTATACTTATTGCTGTTGCAATTTTTGTTGTCAGTGTTTTGCCAAATAAGTAACAAGCTGGGCTGATGTATCATACTGAGTAATAAACCCTTGCAATGCTGACTTAAACACCATTTTTACTAATTTTAGGAATCTTCCTGCATATATCTGTTTCTGGACACATGTTTCTGCTCCACCTCTCCCCGTTGATCGGTCTCCCATGAGGTTAGCTCAAGGCTATTCTGACCATTGAAACATTGTGATACTCTTTAATAGCTATAGCAATTACCAGACAATTGCTGTCTTTTCCAGAATTTTCTTGGCTTTCCTTGCATGTTTCACTTTCAGATAAATTTTAGAATCCCTTGGCCAAGTTCTGAAAAGAAATTAGGTTAGGCTATTGACTAGCGTTATACTGTTTGCACATCAGTGGAAAGAACTGACATCTTTACAACACTGAATGCATTCATCCTGGAGATTGTGCTATAGTTTTATGTTTTAAATGTTATTTTTATTATGTTTTTATCAGGTTTAGGCCATCTCTGTTAAAAAGATTAGGAAATTGTATTCCTTTCTGCAACAGTTTCTGGAAGAGTTTCAATAAAATAATTATGTTCCTTAAGTTTCAGCCACATACTCATTCACATAGACATACACATACACATACTTTGGTAATTATTCCCTAAATAGTCTATAATTACAGTGCTGATTTTCTCTGTGATATCAGGAGTTGGTTTTTGTTCTTGTTTTTGTTTTTTGTTTTTTAGTATTTTGGGGTTTCCAAGGTGTGCTTGCTTACCCTTTTGCCATTTGTTTCTGGTTTTGTTCCATTTGAGAAACACTTGAACATTGCGTGGGATCCACGTCTGTGGTTCTGTAACTTTGTGCATTGCCACAGCCTGCTGTGTGCCCCCTTCTGTGATATCCTCTGGGAGTATCTGCACTTCTCTGGATCTAACCTTGGCGCCTAATCTTCGTGTACATTCTCTGTGTGCCTCTATAATTCTCCTTCTCCTGTGGGAGGACTTTGATGCTGTGCTTTAACAGCCACATGGCAATGACCTGCCAATCTCTCGCTCAGGCAAGTTTCTGCATCACTCAATCTGCTCATTGTGCCTTCTCTGCCATTTTTATTTTTGGCAACTATGTTTTTCATTTTAAGTCCATGGACCGCTTGTCAAAGATCGTTCTCGTTCATAAACTTGCATCTTACATTTTGAGAATCCCACTCCAGGATTTCAAATGATTTCCCCTTTCTCTTGGAGTCAGCCTGCTTCCTGGAGGAATATGTGTCGGGTGCAGGGTGATTTTTGTTTGTTTGTTTTGTTTACTTATAATTTTTTTGGGCCTGCTTATCCTTACAAAGAGAGGTCCATGCAGCATTGAGTGGGGTCTGTCAGAGGCTGCTGACTTCCAGTTAGACTTTCTCAATTAAGATCAAAGAATTAAGAAGTTGAGATTCCTAGGCACTCCGTTTTCCAGGTGAGTTTCCAGGTGTGCGTGGGGGAAGTGGGGATAGATTTAGAACCGGAGGTAGAGGTGACAGGAGGTCCCAGCTCGGTGCTGAGTGGTTTATGTCCTGTGTTTCTAGGGCAGTGCCTGTCATGGCTCGCTGACCAGGCTGCCTTTGTAGGAGCAGCTCAGCCCTGACCCTGTATGTGGTTCCTATAGATGGCTGTCCCACCAAGGCAACAGTGAGCGCTGCGGGAAAAGCCCTGAACTCTGTCACAGGGATTAGCGTTTGGCTCCACCCTCCCTAGAACCCATACGTTGTCTCTGTGGCATTTTGCTCCCATTTCACGGAATTCCAATCTTCTTGACTTTTTGAGGACACCAGGCAGATGTTTTGTAAAACAGTCTTCTATTTCCTGTAGAAAAAAGCCTTAGAGATCTGCTCTTTCTCTAAATCCTCCATCCTCCAGATAACATGTTATTTTTTCTAAGCTGCAGAGCTGTTTCATTGAAAGGGAACTTCTTTTTAATGTTCACTCATATTTAAAGAAGGAAAAAAGTGTATGCAAGCCTCACATCTGCCAGCAGACATAGAGGGAGAATTGTCCTGGGCTTCTGCCCACTTCCTCCCCTTGAGGAGGTCAAAAGCATCCCCCCTCCAAGGACTGTCTGAGGGGCTGATAAATATAGCTCTTAGCATAAGTTCCTCCTCAAAGCGGTCACTACGTAGGTTGAGCTGGGTCACAGATCCTAAAGGCAGTGACGTCCCCCTTGGACCACGAGTTTCTGTGATAGAGAGTCAGACGCAGTCTGTAGACCCTTCTAAGGTTCATGGGGAACAAAATCAAACCATCACATCATGTGCCACTCCCACTGCTGTTGTCCGAATATTCGTGTTTTCCAAAAATTAAAATTTACATGCTGGAAGCTAATGTGATGGTGTTAGGAGGTGGGGCCTTTGGGAGGTGACTAGGTCCTGAGTATGGGAGCCTAGACAGCTGCCGGCCTCTTGCTCCATGTGAGGGCACAGCCAGAAGGCACCACCTATGCCCCAGGGAATGGGTCCTCACCAAGCATCACATCTGACTTCTCAGCCTCCAGAACTGTGAGAAATAAATGTCTACTGTTTATAAGCCACACTGTCTGTGGTATTTTGTCATAGCTGCCAGAATGGTCTAAGACACCCATCTTTTCTCCTCTCACTTTCTCTTTTTCAAAATAAAAACAATCAGCATATATTGCTATATGCAAGGCAGCAGGCTAGGAACTCTATGCATTATTCCATTTAATTATTATGGCCACTCTATAAAGATCAGTGCTATTATTATCAACCCTATTTTATATGACAGAGAAGGAAACAGCTCAGAAGGGTTTAGTCACTTAGCAGAGGCCACACAGCTTCTAACTGCCAACCACAGAATTCAATCCTGATTATCACTCATCAACCCATTTTGAAGGGGCTCTGAAGTCTGAGACATAGCACAGCCTTCATGCTGCCTTTTACCTCACTGTGTCATGGGCTGGGGTTGGTGTGTCAGATGGATTAATGAAGTAGGACCATGGGAGGCAGAGGGAGTAGGCAGGGGAATGGCACAGCTCTCCTCTGCATCTATTATGTAACTGCGATTATGTAACTGTGAAGTTTCCATTCTCTTAGCTGTTCTGCTTTTTAGCTCTCCTACCTAAATGACAGCCACCAGCAGTAGCAGTAATGACAAAGGCACATCGGCTCCCACTGCCGGTGTTCCCACCTCCAGTGTCTCTGTCAGCTTCACAGCCTGCTGGATATGCAGGACAGGGAAAATTGAGTGGAGAACTGAGACCCATTCCTGTCTGACCCCAAATGTTATATGCATTTTCTGTTATTGCCCATTTATAAGGTGAGCCCCACCAGTGGCTAAGAGAAAGGAAGCAGGAAATGTGTCCTGGAAACTACAGGAAGAGGTCGGGTGATGACAGTGAACTTTGCCCATCGACTGTCCATGGGCATGCCTCTAGCAGAGCAGCAAAGTTTTGGGGAGCCCTAGCCCAGCTCTCCCTCCCTGGGGGCCCTACCTGTTGATATAAAGAAGACTCAGCCACCATGTCAGGAAAGATGTGTGATATCTCAACATTTAAGAAAGATTTCAACAGCTTGTGTGAAAAAGCTAAGCTGTCTCCCAGAGTCCAAGCAGTTAAGAATTACCCTCATTAAGGCATTATTCTCACAAACTCATATATAGCAAAGATGGAATATCTGTCACTCTATTGGGAGATGCATTTCTTTGTAGATATCTGGCCACACAGCAAAACCTGGCCACTCTAAAACTGAATCCATTAAGTGTACTTAGCGGCTGAGTTCCCTGTAGAACCAGCAAAGGATTTTCGGGCTGGCAGTAAGTGATTGGCAGACATACTTAAAGCTCATGATAGGGCTAAGAAGGGATTGGGGAGGGGGCTCGGTGGGAGAAGGGCATTCTTCAAGCCACCTCAGCTCCTCTGGTTAAGACTTTGGGTATAAGCATTCCTCTCCAGCATTAAAATCTATTAAAACCTATTTTGGCAAATTACACAATTTACTTCTGGGTTTTCTCTTAGAAATCACAGAGGCCAGACATGGGTGGGCTGCCTGAACTCCTGATTCCTCACAGTCCTGGTGGCAAAGTTCCGGGTTCCCCTGTGCATGAGAAAGCCCCTGCAGTCCTCTGCTTACTTGTCTCCAATTTGAGATGAGTTGCTTCCTTTCACTTTTGTTAGATCTGTTCTTTCTCTTACTGGATGAGGAGGAGATTATTGTTTTCCTAGTTCCTTTTGGGGAAAAAGGCATGAAGTAACAAGAAACAGTTACCTGGACCTCATGGAAATTTCACCATCATTTGGAGCGTGTCCCCTTGGGGCCTGATCACCTCCTCTCTCCCCTTCCATTTCTGATGGCAAATGCTTGTTGTTATTTGCTGGCTTGTTTGTTTACTCCTCGAACTGTCTCCCTCAGACCAGCTCCTTCAGGAAGGCCTGCCTCCTGGTCTCCATGTTACTAGCAGAAATGCCCACCATGATGTATCCCAATACTTCCTCCTTGGTGCAGGAAATTCATTTCAGCATAAAAGTCTGCAAAAAGCAACCTCAGCTCCTCCGGTTAAGACTTTGGGTGTCAGCACCTCCAACATCAAAACCTAATTTGGCAAACTATACAAAGTCTTGAATCACAAAAAATAAAAAAAAATAAGAGTATCTACTTGTCCTTGAAGGACTAAATACACAGACTGTCCATTTAGCTCCTGAAAAGCAGACAGTAGAACATCCAGGGTATCGGTCAGCATAGACTAAGTTATGCTGTCGTAACAAACAACCTCCAAATGTCGGTGGCTTAAGACAACAAAGATTTCTATCTTGCTCATGATGCATGTTCATTTCAGGCTGTCAGAGGGACTCTGCTCCTCACAGAATCCAGCCTGACGGGGCTGTCAATATCTCAAAGATTTCAGTCACTGTGCCAGAAGGCAAAGCACTGTAGAGAATCCCACTTTGGCAAGGAAAGCTCTGGCCTGGAGTCATTTCAACCCATAACTTTTTCTCCAGAAACAGCCACATGGCTGTATCCAACCATGAGGAGACTGAATGGAGCAGTCCTGCCATGCACCCAGAAAGAGGGAAAAGAAGAAAATGTGGCAAATGGCATGACTGACAGCCATGCCCCACTGCCAATCCCAGGCCAGTGAGCCCCTGCAAGGATGCCCAGAGCCATACCCCAGTAAAAGGGTATGATAACACTCCAGGGGAGTCACTTTGTCGTTTTAACTTTTTTTCCTGCATTTGCAAGCTAATTGAGGTCAGTGTTCTTCCTGGAGTCAAACTATCTGTACAGGGCAGGCTGTGCTTGCTGGCAGGCAATAGACAGTAACTTCAGAATTCTCCAGCTCCTTTTCTTTTCAATTAAATGGGGGAGCCAGACTACATATCTCCAGAATCTCCGTTGTTCTATAATGCTGTAAATGTAAATTATTGAGAAGAGATAATTTTCACTCCCACTGTTGCTAAAAATAATCCAATCTTCTCAATCAGTGCTTCATTTTCTTCGAGCCCTAAATGTTGGAATTTCTTGGATCAAGTTCTGGAGTCTCTTTTCACACTCACTGCCCTTCCCCTGGGTAATCTTCTCCCATCCTGCGTGTGTGCAACCTCCAGATGACACCTTCAGAGGTCCCAACAGATGTACCCAGGACTTTCCCTGTGTCTGCATTTAGATTTCTCATAGATCTCAAATTAGAATGTCCCAAATATACAGTCTCTCCCACCCCCACCCATCCTTTTTCAAAGTTATCCAGCTCAATAAGCCAGTTCCTATGCTCAAGACCAAGGAGTTATACCTCCTTCCCTCTCATTCAGTCCAATACTTCCATCCAGTAATTCTGATCTACTCTTCCTCCAAAACAGCTCAACCCATTCCCTCTTCTCTAACCTGACCCCACTACCTTAAGCCAAGCTGCCGTCATCAGTTTTCTGGACTCCTGCAATCATCCCCTCCTAGTCTTTGTGCCTCTGCTCCCATCCCTCCCCAGTCCTTCTGGACACAGAAGTCGGAATGGCATTTTACAGAACGAACTGGATCACACCACTAGTGCAAACTCTCCAGTGTCTTCCTGTACCTTAGGATGGATTCCCAGTTCCCCCAGATCCTGGTCGCCTGCCCTGCACACCCTCACCCTATATCCCTTGCCACCTTCCTCCTTGCCCATGATGTAGATCCACTGCCCTTTTCCTGCTTGAAATGTGAGCCTTCTCCTGCCTGTGAACTTTTTACATTGGGCTGGCTTGGCCCCGCGGCGTTGCTTTGCATCTCTGCCTGGTCTGTTCTTCATTTTCCTTCAAATGACCACCTAATGGCCATTCCTTCTGGAGGCTTTCCCTGGCTGCTTGCCACCACCTCAGTCCCCTCAGATCACTCCTTTCATTCCCCCCACATCATTCATGATGCATTCAATTATACATTTATTTCTACCATTACTCACATGCTTTCCCTACTATGTTGTAAGCCCCACAAGGGCAGGGCCATGCCTGTATTGTTCATCACTCTGTCCAGCCCTCTTTCCCAAAACTAGCACAGGTTTTGTCACATAATAAACATCAATAAATACCTGTATGTTAAGTGAATAATTCTACTTACCTAAGCCCTGGAATATTAAAACTAAGATGACTTCTAAACTCATTCAACTTGTTACCAACAAATGCAAACAACACAGGCCCAGAGCTGCCTATTACAACACTATCTATAATAGAAAAAGACAGAAATAACCTCAGTGTCCATCGCGGGGTCCCAGTGTCCATCACGGGGGACAACATGAATAACTGTGATACACCCACACAATCCAGGGCTGTGCTGCTGTGAAAAGAAGCAAGAAAAGAAGCAATTAAAGACAAAAGGCAAGGTGTCGAATAGCAGATGTAGTGTAATACCCTTTGTCTAAGACAGAAGTCATTAAAAATATGTGTGTGCCTGTTCTATTTTTAAAATGAAATGAAGAAAACAAAACTTATTTTTTTTAAGTTTACCTGTGAGAGAAGGAAAAAATAGGAAGCAGGAGAAGGAACCGAGCTCGATTGCTCGGAGGGCACCTGCTTTAGAATTCTGACTTTGGAACCTTGTGGACTTGTTACATTGTTAAAAAATAATATTCAACCAAAATGGAAAAAAATGATTAAAAATCAAAACAAAATAAATGAACCTAACTATATATTAGATTGGTGTTTAATGACATTGTACTGGATGAGAGGAAAGAAAAGAGAAAAATTAACTAATTTTAAGAAACAGATATGGAATGGTTCATCCCTACAGGAATGTATCTTAAGGACAAGAAGAATATAGAAAAATTTTAAATAGTATCCTGTAGCCTTATTTTTTATTAATAACAAGTAGTGGTGTTGACATTGTTATTTTGAAACTACACACACACACATATGTATACCCCACAATGTTATTAGGCATCAAGAACTTTTAGTGTAAAAGTAAAGAAAATCAGCATTAAATCAAAGAAGTTAAAATCCCTATAATCTTAAATGTGACTTAGAAATACAAGCAAAAGGCTGGGTGCAGTAGCTAACGCTTGTAATCCCAGTACTTCAGGAGGCTGAGATGGGCGGACTGCATGAACTCAGGAGTTCAAGACCAGCCTGGGCAATATGGTGAAACCCCATCTCTACAAAAAAAAAAAAACCACACAAAAATTAGCCAGGCATGGTGGCACATGTCTGTAGTCCCCAGCGATTGAAGGGGAGGGATGCTAAGGCGGTAGGATCACTTGAGCAGGAAGGTGGAAGCGGGTGTTCAGTGAGCCCAGATAGTGCCACTGCACTCCAGCCTGGGTGATGGAAGTAAAACATTGTCTCAAAAAAAAGGAAGAAAGAAAGAAAGAAAAAGAAAACAGAAATACAAATAAAAGCTCACCATGTATTTTTATTTTAAAATAAAAAGAAATATATATTTTCTAGCCCAATAAAAATATGTATTTCTTTTCTTTCAAAACAAAAAATACCTAGAAACAATGAAAACGAAGTAGCATCCAGACTTCAGTTTATAAATATTTGTCCTTGAAATCCACTGGGGAAAAAAAAATCTGATTCCAGGTCTCATCGGAAATTATATGAGATGCAAGATAACTAACCAAGACTATCAGGGAAATGTCAAAATGACAGAGAGCCCAGTCCAAAAGAATTCTCACTGTCCAAGGATGGGACAATTTAAACATCAAAAAGAACAATGATTGCAGCCAGTCAAACTATATCAAAGAAGTTAAAATCCATGAGTACATAATGATAGGATTGGTCACACTGGAGATTGCTAGAACACCAAACTGTTATTCTGAAAATTGATAAATAAATGGAAAGAATAGAGCATTTATCTGGACTTTCATGTACAAACTATTTCCATGGGAAATTAATCAGTTGATGACCAAAAGTTCTTATTCATAGAATTATCCCAGCTAACAAATGCAGAAATAATTATTGTGTGAGGATATCAGCATTTTGTAACCCTAATAAAATAATGAATCTGTCAATGACCATAATTAGCTGCCAAATCCTTAGGGGATGGCTGATGAGAATTTCTTGCAGGATGGAGGAGGCTGACATCACCTGATCCCACTGATGAATCTACACATCCCAAAAAAAGAGACCTGGACCTCCCAGCTCCTCTGTGAGCTGCAGCAGGAAGAACACAGCAATAAGTGGGGAGTCATTTTGCAAAAACTTCCAAAACGGATCAAGCCTCTAGATCTAATTATTAACTCACCCAGAACAAGATAGAGGAGCAGCACCACTGGGTGCAGTCAGGCAAATCCACAGTGTGGAAAATTCTGCAGGGCAAATGATTCAGTTTCTTCAACATGTAAATAACAAGGATGAAAAAGAAGGAGGGAGAACGGTTGGTTGAGACAGATAGATGCATACATATATGCATACCAAATATAAGGTGTACCCTTGTTTATTTCCTTTTTTAATCACCTGAAAAGAATTAGGAAAATTTAAGCATTGACCAGATATTAGATGATATTTAGGAAACGTTTTTCATATTTTTCATATTTCTAGCTTGATAATGATAAAATATTTATTTTTTTAAATAGTCTCTTTCACTTAGAGACACAAAGTTAAACATTTATGAATGAAACGATATAGAACTCTGGATTGTCTTTTAACTAATTCAGTGGGAGGAAGGGGGGACTAAACCAGAGATGGGAGGATATAAGTGAAACAAGAAAAAATTGTGGATAAATGCTTATATCTGCTCTCCACAGATACTAATAAATTAGTTCGTTTTTAATTTTTTTAAGACTGAGTCTCCCTCTGTCACCCAGGCTGGAGTGCAGTGGTGCAATCTCAGCTGGCTGCAACCTCCACCTCCCAGTTTCAAGTGATTCCCGTCTAGTGCCTCAGCTTCCCAAGTAGCTTGGGTTACAGGTGCCCACCACCACAGCCAGCTATTTTTTGTATTTTTAGTAGAGACAGGGTTTCACCATGTTGGCCAGGCTGGTCTCGAACACCTGAGCTCAAGTAATCTGCCCGCCTCAGCCTCCCAAAGTGCTGAGATTACAAGTGTGAGCCACAGCACCTGGCCAAATTAGTTCTGAATTCTATCAGAGAATCAAAATCACATGTAGTTTTGTGACAATAATTTTAATATCTAATTTAAGATTACTTAAAATATATCCTAAATATTTTTCTCACCCCAAGCACAATGGACTGACAAAACCAACCGTCCCTCCCTCCAACCCTAGGGTTCCTGTTGGGGAAACAACGGCGAACTGTAGCAGATTGCTGGGTCACCACGCCTCCCCCACCCCCAGCCTCCAGCCCCAGCCAGGGAGAGGTCGCTCAGGCTGCTCCTGTGAGGTCGGAAACCCAGTCACCTGACCGCCCAGCTGCTGGAGTGGGCTCCTCTTCTCCAAGCAAATCTTGAGGGCAAAACACTATGTTTTCTGCTCATTTTCTTGACATCTTATGCCTGTACCAGTCTCTTAGATTGGAGATTCTAATTTGAATTAGACACCTTTCCCTCCTCCTTTTTATTGAACCAACCGCCCTCCCCTTTTAGAATTCTTAGCCATATCTTTTCCTGAAAGATTCTTGACTTACCAATTTGGTTGAGACGTTCTCTCTGCCTTCTTGGCACGTGGAATAACAAACTTTCCTCTCACCTCTAACAACAGACGTATTGTTACTCGTTGCTTGTCAAACCTAGCCAATCTGAAATCACTGTCACCATAGACAACAGGCTTCTAAAGATTCGGGACAGACAGAAAGGCCAGAGATCCACCATCTGTTCAGCACCAAGGGCCCTGTGGGTGTGGGAGCACAGTGGACAACCCATGATTGAGACACTGCTGGCCAGTGGCTATCCTGTTCATGGTGATCCATCACACTGCTGAGGGACACAAGACGGTGAAATACAGAGCAGGTCTGAATTTTACAGCCAATCAGACGTTGGTTTGGAATCAAATCAGGCTCTTACTATGTATTTTAATTTGGGCAATAACTTTTGCTTCCTGAGCCTCAGCTTTCTCCTTCGTGAGCCCACTGATCTTGCCTCACTGGGTTGCTGT